CCATGTTAAATCAAATATGTAAAGTGTTTTATACATAAATTTTGTATATTTATTTATTGTTTCGTATTGTCCATTTTCCAAATATTTTTTGCTTCCAAAATTACGCAGAACACAGCGTGTGAAAGACTGATAAGAGATGATCTAGCTTTGCGATAAGATTGCTCCTAGCTCGCTTGATGCCTACGTCGCGCGATCCGCTCATCAGTGGTGAGATAAGAACAAAGCGATTGGACATCTGTCTTTTTCTAACTTACTATCATTGTACTGAGAAAATGCGCCTAACGGACATTGTAGCGAATTCTCTCTAATTAGCGGAGAAAATGACGCTTACCGGATCGACCTCGCACGAGGTCCAGCGGCGTGAGGAAAGGGAGGCGAAATCGATTCGGAGCTGATTTGTTCAAATTGATTTTATTCACTTTATTTAACACTCGATAATTTTACGCCGCGGTTGTCTCGAATCGATCATGAGTTGGAGCGGAAATCTTCTTTAAGAGCCGAAACTTCGGTCACACAATTACGACGGAAATCTTGTGGAGCATCCAACGGATGCCCGGCCGACGGAGATCTTGACGCGGCCGACGGAGATCTTGTATCGCGGTGACCCCTGACTCTGTCCCGAAATGATCGTCGAGATTCCGCGGCACTTTAGCGCAAGACGACACAAAACACGAAATTACAATTTCAAGCGCGCGCGATGTTAATCGAATGTACAGATAAAGTGTCGTTCGAGGCAATACGGAAACGCAGCGATTAACTATGAGAAAACAAACGGCCAAGGCAGACACCGGTCGCAACGGCCGACGGCTATGAGAGCGGAGCAATCCGGAGCTGCGCGAGAGCGCGGTCGCCGACGGCAACTGGCGATTCAGAAAAATGAGAATTGAAATTCCGCTAATTCGGAATTCAAATGAAACCAAGAGAGCCGTTTTGAAAATAAGGAATCGAATGTAGCTGACTACGCGATACGACCTTACTATTAAAGCGAGAGATTGCTCCGACTCTTCCGACGTCTGGCTGTTAGCTCCTCGAATGCACGACTGAGTGGCCTTCTATAAAACGTGGCTAATTGCCGTGTGGAACAAGCCCACTTCTCTTCATCTCTGGCACCGTTGATTGGTCCAGCGCAAAAGGTGATCGCTGGTCGCGTGCCGAATTTTCCTTAAAAGGAGATATCTCACGCTATGTAGGGCTCCACGGCGCGTGCCGGCCTTCGATTCGCGGAAACACTGTTTATCCGCAGTTGCTATGACAACCGAAAGCGATCTGTGTTTATTACGGCTTACCTGGCACGCGCCGCGGAACACCTAGGCACGTGGAAGACACGTGACGGTGCCGATCTCTCATCGCGACGAATCTTCGCTAGGTTTTTCGCTCGCGTCGCGAACAGACATGATTAGACGCATTTTTGTTAGATGGCTTATCTAAAATGTGCCTAGTTCTGACCGCTGAAATCGGACCGGTGGCCGCTCTTAGGCTCCTCTCTGGCTCAATTTAAGTTTTCGCGTTAATATATACTGTCTAGCTTCGCGCTTCTCGTTTTGGAGTCAATGTCGATAGTTGGCTTGAACCTACGATTTTTTACACTTAGGATTATATTTGTAGATTCACTGTTCATCACCAACTACAATTTGATATAAAAATTGCTTCTTTTTGTAACGAGAAAACAATGAAATGCAAATGGTTAAACTATTTTGAATGGCCAATTTAGACCATTCATATGAAACCTATTTGCCTTCTTTTTTAATCTTTTCCGTGTAAATAATAAAAAACGGTTGATTTACCAACATTTAATGCTTCAGCTAATTTTTTAAGCATTTGAGTTAAATTTTTATTCAAGAATGAAACAATTCGACCACTTCGAATTTTTTTGTTTGACTTGTTTCTTGTCTTTCAAATAAAAATCATCACTTTTGAATCGTCGAGAGCAATATTTATATTGTTGAGCTCCCGCTTACACTCGCGATTGCGCACGGGAGAAATAAACGGAACACTTTATAAAAACGAGAAGCTTTTACTATTTACAATTAGCAATTCACAATTGAACGAGCTCAGTTACAATATTATCTTTATACGTCCGTTTGCAACCACGGCTGGCTGTCCACTCTCTCTCTAACACGTCAGCTGTCTCTCTCACGTCAGCTATTGTTTACTTAACAACCCATCGTCAAGGAATGCTTGAACGACTTGAAAGGCACGGGTGCAACAATATGTTTTAGTTGAAGCAAACTCACAAGGGAACACCGCGAACCCGAACCTTTTGATTTTGATACACTTTTGTGAATATGTAGAGTAAATCAATACATGAATAACGGTATATTCCATTTGTGCTCTATCATTATTTAAAGATATATTTACATTCTCAAAGTAAAAAGGACGATTCCATTTTTTCGTGTATTACTCTTAAATTAAAGGAGATAGAAAAAAATTTTTCGAATAAAAGTTTAATGGTAAGTTAAGTGCTGTAAATTGACATAAGCATAAATAAAAAAATACTTATAAAAAAATGGTTTACAATAAAGAAGGTATTTTTTCATTTATGCTTTATCAATATATAGTACTTAACTTACCATTAAACATTTATTCGAAAACATTTTTTCTATCTCCTTTAATTTAAGAGTAATACACAAAAAAGTGAAACTGTCCTTTTTACTTTGAGAGTGTAAATCATACCTTTAAATAGCGGTAGGGCACAAATGCATGTACCGTTATTCATGTATTGATTTACTCTACATACTTATAAAAGAGTATCAAAATCAAATAGCTCAGATTCGCGGTATTCCCTTAAAATAAGTTTCTGAGATGAATAGGCGAGCTTCGGCAGTCTTCGATTCGAAACAATAAAGCATATTTCGTCAATAAACGACGAAAATGCTCTTTATCATATCTCATTTTCAATCGCACTGTGTGGTTATCTTTACGATATGATATGTGTCATATTAATTGTAGAAATATCCAAGTTTCGAAGTGACGTACTAACTTTCAAAATATCTCTAATAGATTTGTAGCTACAGCCATCCATAATAAGTCCTCAAAACTAACCGGAACATTTAATATATTAGGACCTTAACTTTGTTTCCGCCCGCAAATGTTAGATGGCAATGCAAACAGTTCTAGTAGTCATTACTAACGAAACAGGTAGTTTGTGATTAATTTCGACATTTCTCGATAACATTCAGTCAGCATACACAATTATTTTCCTAAACAACAATTTCTTTTGCTTTGTGAAAAATGGAACGCGATAAAGTGTTTTTTCGACATGTGCTTTTGCACTATTTTGATTTGAAAAAA